CCAAGGACCCGGGCCCGAGAGGCGGACGCGACAGCTCGCCCAGCCCGCGGGCCGCGGAGGAGCTTCTGCAGCGGTGCATCAGCTCGGCCCTGCCCAGGCGCCGGCCCCCCGTGTCCGGCCTGCGGCGCCGCAAGCCCCGAGCCACCCGGCTGGATGAGCGGCCTGCGGAGGGGTCCCGGGAACACGGCGAGGAGGCAGCGGGCTCGGACCGGGCCTCTGACCTGGACAGCGTGGAGTGGCGCGCCATCCAGGAGGGCGCCAACTCCATCGTCACGTGGCTGCACCAGGCAGCAGCTGCCACGCGCGAGGCCTCCTCCGAGTCCGACTCCATCCTGTCCTTTGTATCCGGGCTGTCAGTGGGGTCTACCCTACAGCCCCCCAAACACAGGAAGGGACGACAGGCAGGGGGCGAAATGGGCAGTGCCCGGCGGCCAGAGAAACGGGGCGCAGCCTCAGCCAAGACCAGCGGGAGCCCCCGTTCCCCTGCAGGCCCAGAGAAGCCACGTGGCACACAGAAGACCACGCCCGGGGTGCCAGCTGTGCTCCGGGGACGAACAGTGATCTATGTGCCCAGTCCGGCACCTCGTGCCCAGCCCAAAGGGACCCCCGGCCCCCGCGCCACACCGCGGAAGGTGGCGCCCCCTTGCCTGGCACAGTCCGCAGCTCCAGCCAAAGTCCCCAGCCCCGGACAGCAGCGGTCGCGGAGCCTACACCGGCCTGGCAAGACCTCGGAACTGGGGACGCTGAGCCAGCCCCCCAGGAGCGCTACACCGCCCGCCCGCCTCGCCAAGACCCCCTCCTCCAGCTCCTCCCAGACCTCGCCCGCCTCCCAGCCCCTGCCCAGAAAGCGCCCCCTGGTCACTCAGGCTGCAGGGCCCCTGCCCGGCCCCGGGGCCTCCCCAGTGCCCAAGACGCCGGCGCGCACTCTTCTGGCGAAGCAGCACAAGACGCAGAGGTCGCCCGTGCGTATCCCGTTCATGCAGAAGCCGGCCCGGCGGGGGCCGCCCCCGCTGGCTCGGGCAGTCCCGGAGCCGGGCCCCAGGGGCCGGGCGGGGACCGAGGCTGGCCCGGGGGCCCGCGGTGGCCGCCTGGGCCTGGTGCGCGTGGCCTCGGCCCTCTCCAGCGGCAGCGAGTCCTCCGACCGCTCAGGCTTCCGGCGACAGCTGACCTTCATCAAGGAGTCACCGGGCTTGCGGCGCCGCCGCTCCGAGCTATCCTCGGCCGAGTCTGCGGCCTCTGCCCCCCAGGGCACCTCGCCCCGCCGCGGCCGGCCCGCGCTGCCCGCCGTCTTCCTCTGCTCCTCGCGCTGCGAAGAGCTCCGAGCGGCACCCCGGCAGGCCCCGGCCCGGCAGCGGCCCCCCGCGGCCCGACCCGGCCCCGGCGAGCGCCCTGCCCGGCGCACCAGCTCCGAGAGCCCGTCCCGCCTGCCCGTGCGCGCGCCTGCCGCCCGACCCGAGACGGTGAAGCGCTACGCGTCGCTGCCGCACATCAGCGTTGCCCGCAGACCCGACGGCACCGTCCCGGCTGCCCCAGCCCCAGCCGACGCCGCGCGCCGCAGCAGCGACGGAGAGCCCCGGTCGCTCCCCAGGGTGGCTGCGCCGGGCACGACGTGGCGGCGCATCCGGGACGAGGACGTGCCCCACATCCTGCGCAGCACGCTGCCCGCCACGGCCCTGCCACTGCGGGGCTCCACGCCCGAGGACGCCCCGGCCGGGCCCCCGCCGCGCAAGACCAGCGACGCCGTGGTCCAGACTGAGGAGGTCGCCGCCCCCAAGACCAACTCCAGCACGTCCCCGAGCCTGGAGAGCAGGGAGCCCCCCGGGGCCCCCGCTAGCGGCCAGCTCTCCCTCCTTGGCAGCGACGTGGACGGGCCCAGCCTCGCCAAGGCTCCCATCTCCGCACCCTTCGTGCATGAGGGCCTGGGGGTCGCCGTGGGGGGCTTCCCCGCCAGCCGGCACGGCTCCCCCAGCCGCTCGGCCCGAGTACCCCCCTTCAACTATGTGCCCAGCCCCATGGTGGTCGCAGCCACCACCGACTCGGCCGCGGAGAAAGCCCCGGCCACCTCCTCCGCCACCCTCCTGGAATAGTGGCCTAGGCCGGCCTTCTGGAACTTTCTCTCCCGGCCTTGCGGCCGGGTCTGGCTGCCCCATGGGCCTGCGCTGTAGATGTTCCCCGTAGGTCGCCCCAGGGCCTCTGCCCACCTGAGCCCCACCACCCTCAGAGCCCCCGCTCAGTGCACTGCGGCCTTGCGCCTCACCGGAAGACCTTGCCTCTGTATCGCGGGGGTCCAGGAGGAAACGGGGCGGCCGCTGGGCCTCAAGTCCCGGCCGTGGAGCGCTGGTAAGGGCGCCCGGGCCCAGCCCTGAGCGCGCGGCCCTTCCCCTGTCGGGAGCCGTTGCCTGACCCCGGGCGAGGGAGGCGGCAGCCTTCGGGTCCGGGTCTGGGTCCGCTGCTTCGCAGGGGCAGCGCTGGGGAGGGGACGGCGCCCGCCGCAGGTGGCGCGAGGCTCGCGGAGGGCGGCGCCACGGCGGGCCTGCCAGCTGGGGGCCTCCGCGGCGCGCAGGGGCGAAGCCTGTAATCACGGCAGCCGCGGGTAATTCGCTAATGAGGGCTTTGCAGGGTTTGTTTTCATTCTCAGCCCCAGCTGTGGGAGTGCGAGGTGGGGGTGTGGCCGATCCCCGGCAGGAAGCCCCGCCCCGACGGTGTTCAGGGAACCCGGAGCCCAAGCGCCCGGCGGAGCCCAAAAGGGTGGGGGTGGGAGGGGCAGGGGCCAACGGATCCCCCTGCCTGCTGCACCCCTTGGCGGAAGACTGAAAGGCAGCGGGCTGCGCACATTGGAACTCTGGTGCAGACGCCGGGCCGGCTATTTGGACCCCAGCCCAGAGATGCTGGCTCCAGCTGGGGCGACCCCAAGGGTCACTGGAGTCAGGATCGGCCCGGCCCAGCCGCGGCAGGCGAGGTCAATGGAAAGAAGACTGAGGGGAGTCCCGGCCGTGAGCCCGAGGCCCTGGGACCTGGAGGCCGCGCTGGCCTCTCCCCAGCGGAGCCTGCACGTTACGGAGACCATCACATGTGGGCGTGGTCACTGCCCAGGACTGCACTGCTGCTGATCTTGTCCCTTTTCAATTCCCTTCTGGTTCATGATGCATAAAGTGCTAGACCCTAGGACTCCAGAGACAGCACAGCTGGGGCGGGGACAGCGGGAACCCAGCCTTGCCTTCCACTCGGGGCTCTGGGACGAGGCCGGAGGTCCGGGGGCCTTCCGGCAGGCGAACACAGGGCTGGGGAGTACTTAGTGCCAGATGAGGTGAAAGCTGACAGAGGGGCCTGGGGGGCTTGGCTGCCTCATCCCCTGGCCGGGGAGGATGGGAGCTGGGTCTCCTGCGTGGGGTGGGACTCGCAGGGGCCAGGGCTCTGGGACTGGGGCAACGCCTCATCCTGCAGAGGGAGCCGACGACCTCTTTTCTGCAGAATCCCAGCTCGGGCAGGCGCTGCCTTCACACACGAATCTGCCCAGGCCGAGGGCACACACTCACCGCCCAAGGTGCCTTCTCCGGGAGAAGGGAAGCGGGGTTTGAGGGTTGGGTCGGTGGAGCTCAGAAGGAAACCCCAGCCCCATCACGGATACCACCATCCCTTGCGTCCTGTCCCCAGCATGTGCAAGGCCAGCCTTTCTGGCAGAAGACGCTGTCCTCAACTCAGGGTCACTGTGAGAGAAGCTGACCCCAGCCCCCACCCCCAGTTAACGCTGCTGCTTCTCTGAATGCATGTCATGTTGCACCCCATGCTCTGGGCCCGCGCCCTGCAGGATGAGGAGCTCCGGGGAGGACGTCTCGTGCTGAAGGTGCTCGATCCTCCCTCCTAGGACCTCGCAGCCAGGCGAGGCTGTCGGGCTGTTTTGGGGGAAGAGGGGGTCACGGGTGGCTGAGCAGAGAGCGGGGAGAATGCAGGCTGAGTGGGGCGACCTCCTGCCTGCCAGGAGCCCCCTTTCAGGACCCAGCGGGGATCTCACACTTGCTGTCCCCATCCATGGCCTGAGGGGGAGCCTGGGGTCTCTTCCGGGGCTTTTGGACTTGGGGATGCCAAACACGTGCTCACCCTCATGCTCGCCCTGGCCAGCTGCACTTCTAATCGTCAAGGGGTAGGACGCAGCCAGCCACTGGGTCGCTGGTGACAGGGCCAGGGTTGTGCAAGGAGGTGCAGCACTGCCTTCCACACACGGTAAGTCTCTGGGCGGTGCTCTCCCGGCTCCCTGCCTCTGTTTCCCCATGTGGGCCGTGGGGAACTCCCAGAGCTACCTCTGGGGGGAGCATGGTGGCAGCGATGATGGGGAGACACCTGGTGCTGCTCACAGAACTTGGGTCTGGCCGGCCCCTGCCCGTGCCACCTTGCCCAGCAGCAGGGAGTGCAACCTGGCCACTGGCCCTGCCCGCCACCCTGAGTCCTGAGCTCACTTTCGCCTTCTCCACCCCCTGCCGCGGGGGCTACAGCCACACCTCACTGCCCAGTCCAGCTGTCTCCAGGAGGGGACAGGCAGTTGGTGGCCTCTGGACAATTGACTCAAGGTATGCCCACCGCGGCCCCTGCCTGGCCACCGGCCTCTCTGCACCAGGGTGACAAGGGGTCGTCTGCCCCGACACTCCAGGGCCAGAATCCTAAGGAACTGAGGGTCTGAGGATGCAGGGAGGGTGGCAGTGTCCTGAGGCTGATGGACGGTGACCGCCACTGGCCCCCAACACCACCACACGTGGGTGCTGAACTCGGGCTGCTGTGCCCACCGGCGTGGTCCTCCCGAGCTCTGACAGCATTACCTCACCCCGCCCCATCTGTTGCCCCGGTCCAGCCCCGACGACGCACGCCTGGTCTGTCTCGGATTCCCCTAGCTGCCACCCCACGTTTTTGTACCGGGTCTCTGAGTGTTAAACGAATGTGTAAATAGTAACAGCCTGTCCTCCCCTAAATGTAAAGCCATCTGTTCAGCGTGAGGACACCATCAGCTGTCCGACTCCCGCGCACATTTAATAAACTGAGCTGTTGAATTGCCTGCCGCCATCACCCGTTCCTCAAATGGGCTGCGGGCAAGGCGGGTTCATCGCCGTCTATGTGCTGAGGCAGATTTGCTGAGGAGACCGCCCAGGTTAGACCCCTGGAAGCAGAGCCAGAAAGCAGACACTGGGGGCACAGGGTTTACTTAGGGGCACCCCACCCAGATGGGCAGGGGGGCACTGGGTGAGGCCAGGAGTCTCCCCCTGGTCCCGAGGGAGAGCGGGCTCCAGGGGGTCCAACCTGGGTGTTGGTACCTGGGCCAGTTATTATGGCAGGCCCCAGTGTGGGGCAGGAAGCATCCATGAGCAACTAGGAGCTGGGATGGCCCCACATCAAAGTCACTTCAGGGAGCACAGCCCTGGCCCAGCGCGGGGAGAGAAAAGCTTTGATTGCAAGCAGCAGAGAAGTGCAGGGCGGCAAGGGATGGCAGGAGCTGCCCCTCCCCACCTTCCACCCTGAGATCCTGCCGGGACACCCCTCGGCCAGGTGAGCGGACTCAGAAGAGTGACCAGTGAGAAGTCCCCAGGGCCCAGGCCGGCTAGCCAAGTCCCTGTTTCCGGATGAGGCGCCTCCCAGGCTGTGTGTGGCAGGCCCCCTTTCTTCAGGGAATAAGAAACATCTTCCACATTCCAGAAACAAAGCTGGCTGTGGGTCTGGAGAGAGGGTGAGGCAGCCCCAGGTCTCTGAGTCAGGCAGACGGTCCCTGTATGCGGTGCTGGGCAGGACTGAGCAGGGTTCCCAGGGTCGCCAGTGCTCATCCCTCCCCAGCTTCCAGAGCCCCAGGAAGGGGCCACTCACGGAGGCACCAATCAGACCGCCAGACACACACAAAGGGGTTTATGTTCCGGGCCCAGCCTCTGGGTCGCCTGGCCCAGGTTTCCACTCGAGTTGATGTCTAGGATGAAAAGCCCTTCGCAAGTCCCTCCGCCGCCCTAATGCCCCTTCCCTCGGGGCCAGAACCGCAGGGAATCAGGCCCAGGACGTGCTCCGGCCAGAGGGTGGCTGTGAGGCCCAGGACACCCTGGGCTCCGGGCCAGTGACTCACAGCAGTCCTCCAGCAAGGGCAGTGGCTGGGAGACACCCGTGCCGTGGAGCTGCGCCCAGCCTGGCTGGGTCTCAGGGCTGCTTGAGTGACCCCAGCAGCCCAGGGTCGTTGTGAAGATCAACGTGGCTCGTGGGAGGAGCCCAGAGCCCGGAAGGAAGTGGGGTCAGGGGCTCGTGCTGGCCCCCAGGCTGCTCTGACATCGGGTGGGCACTCGCTGGATAGAATCACAGTTAACACCTCGATCCCGACACCTGGACTCAGAAGTGGGCGGGCGAGTGCCTGCCCCCGGGAGGAAGGAGGTGGCGCCTGCTCCCAGGGGCCCCACCACAGAGCATGGCCACCGTGAGCCGAGGACAGAATCGCAGCAGAGCAGTAAGGTCCTTATCCTCTTCCAAACCCCAGTGGGCCCTCAGGTCACGCAGGACAGAGCCAGCTGGGTGGGTCCCACCAACTTGGCATGAATGGGACGACGGATGAACCGCAGCCCCAGCGTCAGGAGGGGTGCCTGTGTCAGACACCCACCCAGGCTGGGACCCCATGAATGCGTCTGGTGCCAAGGGACCCCTAGGGAAAGCCCGGGCGCAGGCCACCTCGTGCGCTGCCCAGGCCTGCGGACCCCGAGAGGTCAGCCTGAGGAGGCAGCCTCCGCCGCCGGTAGTGCTGCCTGCTTCATCTGGGCCACCTCCCGCTCCAGGTCCTCGCCAGCTCGCCGCAGGAGCTCACACCTCTGCCTCAGCGCGTCGCCCGCTTGCTGCAGCCGCTGGTTGGCAGCCACGTAGGCCCGGCTCTGCTGGTAGAGCTGCTCTCCTGGGGCCTCTGCATCCTCCATCATCCTGAAGGGAACTGGGGGGTCTGGGATAGAACACAGCAGCATCACTGTCTGCTGACCAGGGAACCCCGGAGGGCAGCCTCCTGGGCACACCTCACTACCGCCCCCAAAGGGCAGGGTTCCCTGCAGTCCCGGTGTGAGCTGCCAGCCGGGGTCTTTTTAAGATGACGAAAGCGGCCAGGTGTGGTGGCTCAAGCCTGTAATCCCAGCACTTTGGGAGGCTGAGGCGGGAGGAACACTTGAGCCCAGGAGTTAGAGACCAGCCTGGACAACACAGTGAGACCCCCATCTCTCCCAAAAAATACAAAAATTAGCTGGGCATGGTAGCATGCACCTGTGGTCCCTACTTCTCCGGAGGCAGAGGTGGGAGGATTGCTTGAGCCTGGGAGGCCGCGGACACAGTAAGCTATGATCGCGCCATGGCACTCCAGCCTGGGTGACAGGGTCTCATTAGAGCCTGTCTCATTAAATAAATAAATAAATAAATAAATAAATAAATATCAAATAATGGAGGCTTCCTGGCCCATCAGCTGGGAGAGGCACAGTGGCTGGGTGGCAAGAAGGGCTTCCAGCTCTAGGCTACCCACCTTAGCAAAGCGTGTGACCAGAGGGATGGGGTCAGAGAAAGAGCTGAGCCTGGCCAGCAGTGGCCCTCCTGGGGTTGGGGCTTCCATTCCTGCAACAGCTGTGGCACCCACCCAGATGGGCTCCACTGAGCCGGCCTGGCTCTCATTCCTGCTCTCACTGGAAGCCAGAGACGCAACAAGCCCGCCATCGAAGATCTCTCCAGGGGCCATGCAACCTCATGGAGCCCACACTTAGTGAGGCGGGGCGGCAAGGGTGAGAGGTGGGCACTCACGTCCTGGTGACTCCCGCATACGGCGGAAACCATGTAAGGCTCCCTGGCCCCCAAAGTATGCAAGCCCAGTGCAGCACAGACTTTAAGGTCACTCAGAGAAGCGTCAGGGTCTCCTCGGCTCTGGCCTGCCCCTCGGCAGTGTGGTCTCGCAATGACGAAGGCTGCACGTGCCACACGAGCCTGGGCTGATCAAATCACCAGTCACCTCCTGCTTTAGCAACAGGGTGGGAAAGGCCGGGCAGTGCCTGGATGAAGGCAGGCCAGCACAGGAGGCCCCTCTACCTTCTATGAGCCCCCTGCCCCCGGCACAACGTGCCTCAGTTTCCCCACACTCAACGGCCATGGACCTGAGCCCATGATGCTGAAACCATGGCCCCAGCGCCCTCAGATGACCCAACTGCATGCTGGGAATAAACACCCCAACTGCATGCTGGGAATAAACACCCCAACTGCATGCTGGGAATAAACACAACTCAGGCACCTGGACCGGTACCAGCCAACAGAACCTTCCAGATGATGCGCACACCTTCCACCGATGCTGGGCCACACCAGCCACCAGCCATGAGAGGCTCCTGGGCACTTAAAATATGCCTAAATGGAAAAGCCACTCGATTTTTCTTTGCTTTTTTTTCAGAGACAGGGTCTCGCTGTCACTCAGGCTGGAGCCTCCAACTCCTGGGCAGAAGCAATCCTCCTGCCTCAGCCTCCTGAGTAGCTAAGACCACAGGTGCACGCCACTACACCCAGTTAATTTGTGTATTTTTGGTAGAGATGGGTTTCACTATGTTGTCCAGGCTGGTCTTGAACTCCTGGCCTCAAGTCATCCTCTTGCCTCAGCCTCCCAAAGTGCTGGGATTACAGGCATGTGCCACTGCACCTGGCCCCAGAATTTTCTAATATTACTTTTTTTAAATGTTCCCATAAAAATTCAGTTTCTGTCATTCCACATGACTCATTTTCTTTTCTTTTTTTTTGGGAGTGAGTCTTGCTCTGCCGCCCAGGCTGGAGTGCAATGGCACAATCTCAGCTCACTGCAACCTCCGCCTCCCGGGTTCAAGCTAATTCTCCTGCCTCAGCCTCCCGAGTAGCAGGGATTACAGGCATGCGCTACCACGCCTGGCTAATTTTTTTGTATTTTTAGTAGAGATGGGGTTTCACCATGTTGGCCAGGGTGGCCTTGAACTCCTGACCTCAAATGATCCGCCCACCTCAGCCACCCAAAGTGCTGGGATTACAGGTGTGAGCCACCGCACCTGGCTGATTCATTTTCATTTAATGTCAGTGCCGGCACCACCCCTCTACGCCTGCCTGTCTAGAATAGCCTGGGGCGGGCATTCTTGTTTCTTTTGTTCACTTGTGCATTAACAGTGCTCTGAGCCCAGAGCTCGGCACAAAGAAGTGCTCAAGAAAAGACTTGAATGAATGAATGAATGAGCCTCATGGAGAGAACACAAAATTCGCCCAACTGCACTGCCGAACCCCTTGGTCTCTGACTAGCTTCCACCTCGTAAATCAGGAGTGGACGAGCTTTCCCGCCAAAAGCTAGAGTCTCTGCTCCCACTACTCAACTCTGCCCTTCTGGTGTGAGAGCATTTGGCCGTGTGCCGTAAACCTTTACTTATCAACACTGAAATCTGAATTTCATACCTTCTTTCAGGTGTCAGATACGTTTTTTCACCCACCCCAATTTAAAAATGTGAAGCCCATTCATAGCTCCCAGGCCTTACAAAAACAGCCAAGGGCAGGGTTTGGCGGGCCCTAGCTTACCACCCCTGTTTTACTTTATTTATTTATTTATTTAATATTATTAGTAGTATTGAGACGGAGTCTCACTGTGGTCCGGGCCAGAGTGCAGTGGTATGATCTCAGCTCACTGCAACCTCCGCCTCCCAGGTTCATGTGATTCTCCCGCCTCAGCCTCCTGAGTGGCTGGGATTACAGGCCCACAACACCACATCCAGCTAATTTTTGTATTTTTAGTAGAGAGGAGGTTCCACCATGTTGGCCAGGCTGGTGTCGAACCTCTGACCTCAAGTGATCCACCCGCCTCGGCCTCCCAAAGTGCTGGGATTACAGGCATGAGCCACCGTGCCGGCCACTTATTTATTTTTGAGACAGAGTCTGGCTGTGATGCCCAGGCTGGATCCTCCCACTTTAGCCTCCAAGAAGCTGAGGCTACAAGTGTCCACCACTACACTCAGTAATTTTTTTTTTTTTTTTTGAGACGGAGTCTCCCACGGTCGCCTGGGCTGGAGTGCAGCAAAGCGATCTCGGCTCACTGCAAACTCTGCCTCCCGGGTTCAAGCGATTCTCCTGCCTCAGCCTCCCCAGTAGCTGGGATTACAGGCGCCTGCCACTATGCCCAGCTAACATTTTTTTTTTTCTTTTTTTGCATTTTTAGCAGAGACGGAGTTTCACCATGTTGGCCAGGCTGGTCTCGAACTCCTGGGCTCAAGCGATCCTCCCGCCTCGTCCTCCGAAAGTGCTGGGCTTACAGGCCTGAACCACAGCGCCTGGCCTCCTCCCCTGCCTGAAGAACCCTCTGAAAATCGGTCCCACTCTACAGAGGCGAAGAGGGAGGCTCGGAGAGGATATGGATCGTGCCCACGTTACTGGGATTCCCAGGGCGTGGGGTCAGGAGTTAGGGGTGTGCTTCTCTCCCGTCCCCCTTGCTGCCGGAGTCTCAGGTCCGCCTTTCCCCGGGACAGGTCTCCCCCTACCTTCCGGGGCCAGGGTGGTGAACACTGGGTCCTCTGCCGCCGCCCCTCGCACATCCTCCAGGATCTGCTCCACCGTGGGGGGCGCTGGGCGGGTGGGCAGCAGCACGCGCTTCTTGGTCTTGGAGCCCATCTCTGCAGGCGGGGAAGGGAGCGCTGACCCGGGCGTCCACCTCTCCGCCTTTGCCCGGGCCGCTCCTCCCGCCCAGCGAACTCGTACGCACCCGTCGCGGCCCCGCTCCCAAGGAAGCCCGCCCTGTCCCGCCCCTCTGGGTTCTCGCCGGGCCCTGACCCTCCCTCCGCCCAACAACATGGTGGCCAAGGCTTCAGAGTCTGGCTCAACCTCTGCCTCAGTTTCCCCGCGGTAACCCCAGTCGCCAGCCTCTCCCCACCTACCTGGGCTCGGAACCCCAGCCCAGAGTGTCTGCGATGCAGCCACCTCCGCTTCCGGCCGGAGCACCGGCCCGTCCCCGATCACGTCACACGCGCTTCCGGCCTCCTCTCGCGCCGGCCCGCCGCTCATCGCGGGGCTCCACGCCTTCTTAAAGGGACCGTGCCCTTGAGAATCGGATCTCAGCCTTTCAGTCGAACCCGAGCCTGGACGCACTAGGACGAGAGCGAGTTCGAGTCTAGGCTCCACTGGCTGGGTAGAAAAGCATCCGAGGCTCGTCTTTCTGAAAAGCGGGACACGCCACCCAGGGGATATGTCACCCACGTGGCTGTCGGGAGCACAAAGTCGCTGGCCACCTAAGGGGGCCTGGTGGTGCACCAGCACTCGGTGATGTTGGCTGCAGGAATCTCACCTAGGTTGCCAGGACGCAGAGGGGCCGCCACGGCGCCTCCACTTCCAGCCAAAGAGGGTCCTCCCGCCTCGGGGGCGGTACTGGAGGTCACGTTTTCCCCTCCGCTGATGCCTGGGAAGGCAGGAAGAGCAGAGCGCCCTTTTCCTGTCTCAGGAGCTTTATTGAGATGCAGTTTACATACCACAAAGTTCGCCTGTTTATTTCGTTTTGTTTTGTTTTTTTAAAGATGGAGTCTCCCTGTGTCGCCCAGGCTGGAACGCAGTGGCGTGATCTCAGCTCACTGCAACCTCCGCCTCCCGAGTTCAAGCAGTTCTCCTGCCTCAGCCTCCTGAGTAGCTGGGACTACAGGTGCCCGCCACCTCGCCCGGCTAATTTTTTTTCTTGTATTTTAGTGGAGACGGGGTTTCACTGTATTGCCCAGGCTGGTGTCAAACTCCTGAGCTCAGGCAATCCGCCTGCCTCGGTCTCCCAAAGTGCTGGGATTCCAGGCGTGAGCCACCGCGCCCGGCCTAATTCGCCTGCTTGAACTGTAAGTTCGGCCTGGAAGCGGCGGCTACGCCTGGAATCCCAGCACTTTGGGAGGCTGAGGCGGGCAGATCACTGGAGGCCAGTTTGAGACCAGCCTGGCCAACACGGTGCAACTCCGTCTCTACTAAAAATACAAAAATTAGGCTGGGCGCGGCGGCTCATGCCTGTAATCCCAGCACTTTGGGAGGCTGAGGCAGGAGGATCATGAGATCAGGAGATCGCGACCATCCTGGCTACCATGGTGAAACTCCATCTCTACTAATAATACAAAAAAAAAAAAGAAACATTAGCCGGGTGTGGTGGTGGTCGCCTGTAGTCCCAGCTACTCCGTGGGCTGAGGTGGGAGAATGGTGTGAACCGGGAAAGCAGACCTTGCAGCCAAGATCGGGCCACCGCACTCCAGCATGGGCGACAGAGCAAGACTCCATCTCAAAAAAATAAATGAATAAGAAAAAATAAATAAAGTGTAAGCTCAATGGTTTAGGGTTTTGTTTTGTTTTTTTGTTTTTGACGGAGTCTTGCTCTGTTGCCAGGCTGGAGTGCAGTGGTGTGATCTCAGCTCACTGCAACCTCCGCCTCCCAGGTTCAAAAGATTCTCCTGCCTCAGCCTCCCGAGTAGCTGGGACTACAGGGGTGCATCACCACGCCCCGCTAATTTTTGTGTTTTTAGTAGAGACGGGGTTTCACCATGTTGGCCAGGATGGTCTCGATCTCTTGACCTCGTGACCCGCCTGCCTCAGCCTCCCAAAGTGCTGGGATCACAGGCGTGAGCCACTGCACCTGCTGGTTTTTTGTGTAGAGTTGTGCAACCATTACCCCTAATTTCTGAGCCTCCATCAGCCATCACTCCCCATCTCCTCTCTTCCCAGCCCCTGGCACCCACGCATCCCTTTCCCATCTCTGTGCATTGGCCTGTCCTGGACATTTCATAGAAATGGGGTCACAATGAGGCAGGTAGGGGGAGGGGGATTGATTAAGCTCAGGAATTTGAGACCAGCCTGGGCAACAAAGTGAGACTTCATCTATATAATTTAAGATAAATTAAAATAAAAGACTGGGCGCGGTGGCTCACACCTGTAATCTCAGTACTTTGGGAAGTCAAGGTGGGCGGATCACCTAAGGTCGGGAGTTTGAGACCAGCCTGACCAACATAGAGAAACGCCATCTCTACTAAAAATACTAAATTAGCCTGGCATGGTGGTGCATGCCTGTAATCCCAGCTACTCAGGAGGCTGAGGCAGGAGTATCGCTTGAACTGAGAGGCAGAGGTTGCAGTGAGCCAAGATCGTTCCATTGTACTCCAGCCTGGGCAACAAGAGCGAAACTCCATCTGAAAATAAAAAATAAAATAAATTAAAATTAAAATGTTCTCAGAATAGCAGTGGCTCCCACAGACAGGGCTTACTTAACTAGTTTGATATCAAAGAAATTGTTGAGAGAAAAGGAAGGAAGGCAGGGAGGGAGAAAGAGAAAGACAAGAAGGAAGGAAGGAGAAGAAAAGGGAAGGAAGGAAAGAGAGAGAATAAAAGAAAAGTAAAAGGAAAGATAAAGGAAAGAAGGAAGGAGAAGAAAGGAAGGAAGAAAAAGGAGAGAGAAAGGAAAGAAAGGAAAGAGAAAGAAGAATGGAAGGAAGGAAGGAGAGAGAAAGAAGAAAAAAGAAAAAGGAGGAAAGAAACAAAGAAAGAAAGAAAGGGAAAGAAAGGAAGGAAGGAAGGATGGGAGGAAGGAAGGAAAGAAGGAAGGAGAAGGAAGGGAGGAAGGAAGGAAAGAAGGAAGGAGAAGAAAGGAAGGAAGGGAGAAAAGAAAGAGAAAGAAAAAGGAAAGAAAGGAAAGAGAAGGAAGGAAGAATGGAAGGAAGGAGAGAGAGAGAAAGAAAAAGAAAGAAAATAAAAGGAAGAAAAGAAAGAAAAAGAGAAAGGGAAAGAAAGGAAAGGAAGAAAGGAAAGAAGGGAAGGAAGGAAGGAAGGAAAGAGAAGGAAGGAAGGAAAGAAGGAAGGAAGGGAGGGAAGGAGGGAGAAAAGGGCCAGGCGCGGTGGTTAATGCCTGTAATCCCAGAACTTTGGGAGGCCAAGGAGGGAAGATTGCTTGAGGCCAGGGTTCAAGGCTGCAGTGAGCTACAATCGCGTCACTGTACTCTAGCCTGGTCAACGTACGGAGACCCTGTCTCAAAACAAACAGCAACATCAACAACAAAAGGAACCACGGCGGGAGAGGATTCTTGGCCATGGTGAGCCATTTTCTGGGGTTAGACATTACTGCCGACACCCGGCCGCTCCCTGCTGCCCCCACTGCCTGGGGTCCCTGGGCCTGGGCGAACTCCTTCTCCATAGCCGAGTGCATTCGCCCTAGACTGATGTCCGGGGACCCCAGGCGGAAACCACCTGAGCCCTGGGGCCTCGGGCCCACCCTGCTTCAGAGGAGGCCACAGACTGAACACCTTCTAGCAACCTTTATTTGCAAACTCTGAGGGTGGACGCGGTGCCCGAGACGGACAGTGTCACGTTTCTCTCCCCCCACTTTCCCCTGGCTTCTGGGGTGCTCCAGCCTCTCCCCCCAGCCCACTCCCACCCAAACCCAAAATGCATAGGAGACTTCTCTCTCTCTCTTCCCCCCAGGCTGCGGGGTTCCACGGGGCCCACGCCTGGCAGGCCGGGCGTCGGGGGCTGGTGCTGGCTCCTCTGGGCCAGCCTGGGGAGGCAGCAGGGCAACAGTGCCTGTCAGGGACCCAGGCAGGGGCAAGGTCACTTTCTGAGCTGACAACTTCGGGTTCCAGCTGGCAGCCGGACCTGGGGTTTGGTGGGCGTGGCCCTGGCACGGGAGAGCCAGGTCTGTGGTGGGAGGTCCATGGACATGCTGCAGAGGACAAGGCCTTGGAGGGTCATGGCCAGGAGGCCCAGCACCATGGCTGAGGCTGGGCAGCGGTGCTGGGGGCAGGCGGCAGCTCTAAGCCGGGGGCTGCTGTCAGGGGTGGTGGGTCCCACGCAGGAGCCCTGCTGCTGGTCCAGTGTAGAGGATGGGGGACAGGAGGTGCAGTCCTTCAGGGAGCCGCCACGGCAAGTGTAGCAGGAGGAGTGGCAGCTGGAGCAGACCCTCAGCGCGAGCGCCGCCGTGTGCCCAGGCCTGGCAGTCACCAGCCTTGTGTGGTTGAAGAACCGCGGGGGGCAGTAGGCCAGGCAGAGCCGTCCCAGGATGTAGGCGGGGCCGTCACATACTGCTCAGGGACACGGATACAAAGACCCGTGAGCCCACCACCCGCGGCCTGTTGCCCGCCACCCGCCCGCCCGGGGCCACATGCACGCTGCCCACGGTGGCCACCGCCACCTCCCAGCAGTGGGCCCTGCAGCGCCGGCACTCACCCTGGCACAGCCCCTCAGTGTCCCGCTGCACACACGCGCTGCTGGTCACCTGGGGGCCTGTAGGCCGCGCTGTCATGTCCTCGGCTGTCCCATAGAGCAGCAGCGTGTAGCGGTACAACATCCCTGGGCAGGGGTCGCGGGTGGGCACAGGAGGAGGAGGAGGCTCTTGGCGGCCTGGTCCTGGTAGTCCCCAGGCTCCCTCTCCTGCAGCTCCCACCCGGGGCCCCAGACTGGTCCACATGTCTCAGGGAATTGCACGCCTACTGTGCACCTGTCACTGGACACCGAAATCTCCCGGGTGACGACACACCTACTGTGCATCTGTCACTGCACACCTACTGTGTGCCTGTCACTGCACACCATCTCCCGGGTGACTGCACGCCTACTGTGTGCGTGTTCTCTTGGAGAAGGCCACTGGGAACCCCTTGTGCAGTGGGGTCACCAAGGCTAACTCCGGAGCCCCTGGGGGGAGGTTGGAGAGCCAAGCCCCGCCCACCACGGTCCTGCCCCGCCCACCACAGCCCCGCCCCACCCTCACCCGTGTTGAAATAGTAGCCCTTGTTCTCCAGGCCCAGGGTCCACACGCCTTGTGGGTTCTCATCCCAGAAGTGGGTGGACATGAAGACCCAGTTGTTGTAGCCTTCAGTGCTGACATCCAAGGGTCTGCGACAGAAGGGCGGGTGGGGGTGGGGGTGTCAAGAGGGATGGCTTTGTGAAGCCCGCAGAGTCCCACCAAGTGTCTGATCGCACGTGCTGGTGGCCGGGCGTCCTCTGGGTGTGGGTGGGGGCGTGACTCGGGGGTCCCATCCACTAGGCTGCCGTGTGACTCCTGTGGGCCTGGCCCCTCGCCGTGAGGACACTCCCGGTAGATGGCAGCGTTTACCCACAGGGCGTGAGGCCGCCCCTCCCCTCTGCGGGCCGCTCACCGTATGGCCACGAGTGTGGAGCGCGTGCCCATGGGGCTGGTGAGTGAGATCTCCAGGTCTCCGCGCCTGCTGTAGGACAACGTCAGCTGCGCCTGCACGTGCTCCAGCGAGCGGATGGAGTTGTGGCGGCCGGCGCAGGCCGACACGTTTTTCCTGATGTAGA